CATTTAATCCAATGTAAGGCATATTTTATATCAAAGTAAAAGGCTGCACTTGCTCATTTGAAGATATGTTTCGTCTCGCGTCTAAAATTTCTTTAAAGGACCAGAATTCTCATACTGGAACCCGCAATTCCCGTTTAGAGACGGATATCTATACCTAGGCCGAGGTTTGAGTTATTGAGGTATTTTAATCCAAAGTAAGTATATTTTTTTTTTTTATCAAAGAAAAGGCTGCACTGCATGTATTTTAAGATTGTTTCTTCGCATCAAAATTTCTTTAAACAAATCTGGAATACTCGGCAGATTCGAACCCAATCCCAGTTTGAGGAGACCGATGCCTTATCGTTAAGCCAAGAGGGCTCTGATATTGAGTGGTTTTAATCCAAAAGGCATATTTTTTTATCAAAGTAAAGTGCAATTCGAATGTATTTGAAGATATGTTTCGTCCTCGTCGCAAAATTTCTTTAAACGAGATCTGAATACCCTCGGCGGATTCAACCCGCAATCCCCGTTTAGGAGACCGATCCTATCCGTTAGGCCACGAGGGCTTCTGAGTGGTTGAGATTTTAACTAAATGTAAGGCATATTTTTTATATCAAAGTAAAGGTGGCACTTGTATGTATTTGAAGATATGTTTCGTCCTCGTCATAAATTTTTAAAAGGAGCTCAGAATACCCTCGGGGATTCGAACCCAATCCCTAGTTTTAGAGACCGTGCCTTATCGTTAGGTAGGCTTCGGTTGTTGAGGATTTAATCCAAAGTAAGGCATATTTTTTTATCAAAGTAAAAGGCTGCACCTTTTGAAGATTGTTTTTCCACGTCGTAAAATTCTTTAAGCGAGCTCAGAATACCCTCGGTGGACTCCGCAATTCGGTTTAGAGACGACATTATCGTTAGCACGAGGCTTGAGTTATTGAGGTATTTAATTCAAAGTAACGGCATATTTTTTTTATCAAAGAAAGGCTGCACTTGCATGTATTTAAGATTGTTTTCCATCGTCAAAATTCTTTAAACGAAGGAATACCCTCGGCGGGATTGAACCACAACCTGGTTTGAGAGACCGATGCCTTATCCGTTAGGCCACGAGGGCTTCGGAATTATTGAGGATTTTAATCCAAGTAAGGCATATTTTTTTATATCAAAAGTAAAAGGTGCATTGCATGTATTTGAAGATATGTTTCACGTCGAAAATTTCTTTAAAACGGAGCTAATACTCAGGATTCGAACCCGCAACCGTTTAGAGACCGATGCCTATATCCGTTAGGCCAGAGGGCTGATGTGGTTGAGGAATTTTAACAATGTAAGGCATATTTTTTTATATCAAAGTAAAGGTGGCACTGTATGTATTTGAAGATATGTTTCGTCCGCGTCATAAAATTTTTAAAAGGACTCAGAATACTTATGGATCCTGAACCCCAATCTTAGGGAGACGCTGCCTATCTGTTGGGCCACGAGCGTTGTTGAGGTGTATTTAATCCAAAGTAAGCATATTTTTTTTAATCAAAGTAAAAGGCTGCACTTCCATGTATTTGAAGATCTTTCGTCATCGTCGAAAATTCTTTAAAGAGTCAGTACTCGGACCTCGAACCGCAATCCCCGGTTTAGGAGACCGATGCCTTATCCGTTAGGCCACGAGGGCTTGAGTGGTTGAGGATTTTAATCCAAGTAAGGCATATTTTTTATATAAGGCTGCAATTGCACATATTTGAAGATATGTTTCGCCACATCGTAAAATTTCTTTACAAGGGAGCTCAGAATACCCGGGAGACCCGCAATCCCAGTTTAGAGACCGATGCCTTATCCGTTAGGCCACGAGCTTGAGTTATTGAGGATTTTAATCCAAAGTAAGGCATATTTTTTTATCAATGCGCACTTGCATGTATTTGAAGATATGTTTCGTCCCGTCGCAGAATTTCTTTAAAGGAGCTTTGAGATACCTCGGCGGGATTCGAACCCGCAATCCCCGGTTTAGGAGACCGATGCCTTATCCGTTAGGCCACGAGGGCGTTCGAGATTAGGTATTGTAACCAAATAAGGCATATTTTTTTATCAAATAAAGGCTGCACTTCATGTATTTGAAGATATGTTTCGTCCTCGCAAAATTTCTTTAAACGGATCTGAATACCCTCTGGCGACTTCAGAACCGCAATCTCCCGGTTTAGGAGACCGATGCCTATATCCGTTAGGCATGAGGGCTTCAGTATTGAGTATTTAATCCAATGTAAGGCATATTTTCAAAGTAAAGTTGGCACTTGTATGTATTTGAAGATATGTTTCGTCCGTCGTCAAAATTTTTTTAAAGGAGCTCAGAATACCTCAGGGATTCGAACCCCAATCCCGCTTTAGGAGACCGTGCCTTATCCGTTGAGGCTGGCTTCAGTTGTTGAGGATTTTAATCAAATGTAAGGCATATTTTTTTATATCAAAGTAAAGGCTGACTCATGTATTTGAAGATATGTTCTTCCATCGTCATTCTTTAAACGGGAGCTCAGAATACCTCCGGCGGATTCGAACCGCGATCCCCGTTTAGGAGACCATGCCTTATCCGTTAGGCCACGAGGGTTATTATTGAGGCATTTTACAAAAGTAAGGCATATTTTTTTATCAAATTAAAGGTAATAGTATGTATTTGAAGATATGTTTCGTCCTCGTCGCAAAATTTCTTTAAAACGAGATCTGAATACCTCGGCGGATTCGAGACCGCAATCCCCGTTTAGAGACCGATGCTCATCCGTTAGGCCACGAGGGCTTCGAGTTTGAGCATTTAATCCAATGTAAGGCATATATATCACAAAAAAGGTGCATCTGCATGTATTTGAAGATATGTTTCGTCCACGTCGTAAAATTTCTTTAAAGGGAGCTCTAGAATACCCTCGGGATTCGAACCCGCATCCTCGGTTTAGGAGACCGATGCCTTATCCGTTAATTTGAGGGCTTCGAGTTGAGGAATTTTAATCCAAGTAAGGCATATTTTTTTATATCAAGTATAAGGCTGCATTGCATTATTTGAAGATATGTTTCGTCCTCGTAAAATTTCTTTAAAGGACTGAATACCCTCGCGAGGATTCGAACCCGATCCCAGTTTAGGGAACCGATGCCTATCCGTTAGGCCACGAGGGACTTCGAGTTTTGGAGGCATTTTAATCAGTATATTTTTTTTATATCAAAGTAAAAGGTGAATGGCTGTATTTGAAGATGTTTCGTCCGCGTCTAAAATTTTTTAAACGGAGCTCAGAATACCTCGGCGATTCGAACCCCAATCCCCGTTTAGGAGACCGATGCCTTATGGGCCAGAGGGCTTAGCGTTGTTGAGATTTAATCCAAAGTAAGGCATATTTTTTTATCAAAGTAAAAGGCTGTACTTGCATTTTGAAGAATGTTTGTCCTCGTCAAAAATTTCTTTTAAAAGGAGCTGAATACCTCGGCGGATTCGTCCAAACCCAGTTTAGGAGACCGTCTATCCGTTAGAGGGGCGTTGAGGATTAGGTATTGTAATCAAAAGTCATATTTTTTTTATCAAAGTAAAAGCTGCTTCCATGTATTTGAAGATATGTTTCGTCCTCGTCGCAAAATTCTTTAAAGAGATCGGAATACCCTCGGCGGGATTAAACCCAACTTCCGGTTTAGAGACCGATGCCTTATCCGTTAGGCCACGAGGGCTTCGTGGTTAGGACTTTTAATCCAAATAAGGTATATTTTTTTATCAAAGTAAAAGGTGCACTTCATGTATTTGAAGATATGTTTCGTCCCGTCGTAAAATTTCTTTAAAGGAGCTTCAGTACCTCTCGGCGGGGATTCGAACGCAATCCCGTTTAGGAGACCGATGCCTTATCCGTTAGGCCACAGGGCTTCGAGTTAGGTATTTAATCCAAAGTAAGGCATATTTTTTTTATCAAAGTAAAGGCTGCACTTGCATGTATTTGAAGATATGTTTTGTCTCGCAAAATTTCTTTAAAACGAGATCTGTATACCCTCGGCGGGATTCGAACCCGGAATCCCGGTTTAGGAGACCGATGCCTTATCCGTTAGGCCACGAGGGCGTTGAGTGATTTAGGTATTGTAATCCAAAGTAAGGCATATTTTTTTATATCAAAGTAAAAGGCTGCACTTCCATGTATTTGAAGATATGTTTCGTCCTCGTCGCAAAATTTCTTTAAAACGAGATCTGAATACCCTCGGCGGGATTCGAACCCGCAATCCCCGTTTTAGGAGACCGTTGCCTTATCTGTTGGGCCAAGAGGGCTTCGCGTTGTTGAGGTATTTTAATCCAAAGTAACGCATATTTTTTTAAATCAAAGTAAAAGGCTGCACTTCCATGTATTTGAAGATCTGTTTCTTCCACGTCGTAAAATTTCTTTAAAGGGAGCTCAGAATACCCTCGGCGGGACTCGAAACCGCAATTCCCGGTTTAGGAGACGGACATCTTAACCGTTAGGCCACGATGGCTTTGAGTTATTGAGGTATTTTAATCTAAAGTAACGCATATTTTTTTAAATAAAGGAAAAGGCTGCACTTGCATGTATTTTAAGATCTGTTTCTTCCACATCGTAAAATTTCTTTAACACGAAATCTGAATACCCTCGGCGGGATTCGAACCCGCAATCCCCGGTTTAGGAGACCGATGCCTTATCCGTTAGGCCACGAGGGCTTCGAGTTATTGAGGCATTTTAATCCAAAGTAAGGCATAGATTTTTATCAAAGTAAAAGGTGGCAATTGCATGTATTTGAAGATATGTTTCGTCCGCGTCGTAAAATTTCTTT